CCAGCAAATCCTTTGCTTCTTTCGCTGCAGATGCGTAAGACTTAGAAAGAAAAGTCTAAATTCTTAGTTTTCCATTCGGGTTAACTTAGAGTTCAGTCGAGCCTGCTTCCCCTGACTTGCACCTGTATGGCCATCTTCTGCATTCGGCGAATGTCTGAATTTGTACGCATTCGTAATTCATGTACATTAGTTTTGTTTTTGACTTATAAGCCGGCATTGAAGCTTGAAATAATGCCAATACAATTCGATATCATAAATATTTTATGCACTATACGTTTGCCCTTTTGTTGCTGTTTAACTTTGCATACATTTTGTCAATTTGGGCGCGGGAATGGAACTCGAAGCTCGCAATTCCTGTAGCAAACTAAAAACGACAGAGGAAAAAGACGAATGCCTATTAGGCTGCATATTAAAAAAATATGTATACATACAGATATAGCATATATATATGCAGGCCAAATAAATAACAGACCAACAATATACGAGCTGGCCAGGAGGCAGGCGGGGCCACAAAACAAAAGCCAACAACAATACAAAGAATTTTAGCCCTTTTTATGATTATGAATGCACGTCAGCATATTTATGTAAAAATTATGCAATTTGCTGCCGTTCTATGTGAGTGCGTGGCCTAACTCAAGGGAAGGAGCCAACCAGTGAGCCAGCCAGCCAGCGAGCCAACCAGTCAACAGCAAAGAGGCAAGATACAAGAGACCAGAGCCAAGAGCCACATCAGTTGAACTTAGCCAGTCAATCAAAAGTTGACGGGCTCGTCACAGTTGTCGCTGCTGTTGTGCTTGCTGCTGCAAAAGGACAAAAAAATTCAGCGAGAGAGAGAGAAAAAGAGCCAGAGGGGAGAGAGAGGGAGAGACTGCGAGAAATGCATCTTTTGAGCAATTTGCAAACCAAAATGTGTATTAAAATTTATGACGAGTTCAAGTCGAAAATGGGCGATGGATTGAGAGATAGGAGCGGTTTGAGAAAATCCACTAATAAAAAGTATAAGCATATGCGAATTTGTGCTGTACGTATGACTAAGAAATACCCTGTAAATAAATGTGAAATGCACTCTATAATAACAGTTAACATTTTTATGGAAGAATGATTATGAGATAGCTTTAAATTATATCTATATATCTATATATCTCTAAATACCACTTTGAATATTATGTAAAATATATTCAAGCACATAAACTTTCATTTTGTAAGATTTATATCCCATATTCATATCCCATTCTTTATGTGCATAGGATGCATATACCAAAATCCAACTATGTAATTAATATGCACTGTGTGTAAAATAAACAAACATCAAGTTCTGTTGGTTCTTTTCGTTAGCAGGGCGAAATGAAGGTTTCCCGGTTTCTTAGTTCTAGTATTTTGTTTATATTTATAAAAACTATGTTTAATTTAAATATTCAGCTCTTGAGTGGAAACAGTTATGCATACAGTCCATTACTGTTCGCTGTCCCTATATGGCATATCGATCATATATTCAGAGAATGTCGGAAATTAGCATTACGAAACGGCGACAGGACAAGAGCTCGATGCGATGAGACTGCAGATTGACTGCGTATCTCTTGTAGTTTGTATCTGTTTCTCGTCTTGTAGCTGGATCATTCGTTGTGATCCTCATCATCATCGCATTGCTGCAACATGTGGCAACTACAATCACACACACATGAACATATGTAATTCGTATTGAAATTCACGTCTCTGTTAGCAATTGTTGTTGTCACTGGATTGGCATTGTTGCAATGATTGGCCTTAACTTTCACCAGCAGTTGCTGTTCCTTGTTGTTGTTGTTGTTGTGGTCGTCATCGTCGTGATGACTTCGCTTGCTCGCCCTTCACCCTTGGCCCGTGTGGGCCACGTCAACAGGGCCAAAAGCAAATTGTTAAGTTATTTGTAAATTTCGGTGTTCGTTGACTGTTTACGTTTTTTTGTATGTTAGGCGTGTGTGTGCGGAGCTGATTTTGCTGCAAAAGTAAACAGACATACACTATATACCCTTTACTCACGGGCTAAGAGTTATGATAGAGGAGTTCGGATTGAGGCTTGATGCATGAACGAGTTACCAAACTTTAGATTTTGATATTTCAGAAAACAGTAAATGTTTTGCTTAACTTTTTCATGCAACTACTAATGTTCAGTCTATTTTAGAGGTTCGAACGAACGCAATTTGACCAAAGTGTAGTCATAAGTCATCAGTCATTAGTCATTAGTCATTAGTTAAGAAATTGCCGATTTCAGACTTAATTCCAGTTACTCAAAGATGGAATCAAACATTCTTACAATTTTGATTTTTAAGTATATTATATATTAAGTATACGCTATGTTTGTCTAGAACATTGCATTCTACTAACTAAAATATATTATAAGAAATTATGCCAGGGTATTTAATACTCGCTCAACTGCAGCTGGCAATGCTTTGTTCTTGTGTTTTTTTTTTTTGTATCTCTCGTATTTTGTATGCATGCAATGTGGATTTTCCGCAAGAAAATCCTTTTGGCAATTTGTATATGCATCATAAAAAGACACAAAGGAAGTGCACCACGAATATTTGGATTAAATAAATTTTACGTTTTTATGCCCCACAGCTGTAAAAAGTGTAATCGAATGCTTATTTGTTGTCAATATCTGTGTCTGTGCAGCAGAGTAGCAGCTGCAAAAACTTCACAAAACTTTAGATGGCATTAAAGATGCATACGTAAATGTTATTTCTAATTTAAAAATGTTTTTTGAGAACATTTCGGCTGCCAGAAGTGAGTGCAAAAAGTGTGGCCTACTCTTAGGAGTATTGGTATTTTTAGGGCTCTCAATAGTCGCACACTCGTAATGTAGCCTGTGTCTGAGAATGTTTTCATTTGAGGCGAAATCCTTTTATTTGCTGATTTCCTTTTTTTATCCATATACATATTTCTTGTTTTGCTGTTTTCTTTTTTGTTTTTGTTTTACCTGTCTGCTCTTATATGCTAATTTATTGGCATTGCGGCGCAGTGAAATGAAAAAATGGGTCAACCCGTTTGTGTGGTCGAAGGTTTCTACTCTCCCATATGCATTGCCATAAGGATACGCTGGCTGTCTTTTACATGGCGGGCTAGTTCTGTTAGGTTTTTAGCTCAGTATGGTGTATGGTATGGTATGGTATGGTTGGCCAATTGATTTTGCTGCGAAGTGGCTTAAGAGTGGCCAATTTTCACTAACAGCCTCGAGTGCTATCAGCAACAGCACTTAAGGGCTTTATCGGGCTGCCCAAAATGAACTGAAATTTCATTTTCGTATATCTTATCCCAATAGTGCAGAGCAAAGGGTCATATTGTGCTTTCGGCAGCCAGCTGCCAACTGCTGCTGCTGCTGCTGCTGCTGTTGTTGCTGTTGTTGATAAAAACCTTCAGTGCATGAGAAGCACATGAGAACTCAGCAGCCTGGCAGGCTGCTCTGGCCATGTGTAAACATGGCTGCGTGGCTGTGGGAGTGTGTTAAAATGTTATCGCGTTTTCTCAACGCTTGTGCGGAAAATATTCAACTAGCAGCCGAGTGCTAGCGCGATGCCTGACTGAGCCAAAATAGACGGCTTGGCTGTTCTGTTTGGTTGGTTGGCTTGGGCCAGGCCAAGTGCCTCCGCCTCCTTGATGCGCATCCGTAATTGGAGCAACGTTCAGCTGGCAGCTGTAATTGTTTTGCTGTTGCATTTTCGCGCTCTCCCGCATGCCAGTTAACAAATTCCCAATTGCTGTTGCTGCTTCACTTGGCATGCTCTTGTGCCACGTATGTAAACATTGGTAATATTTGTCGGACACAAACTGTCCGCAGTTGACCTGCTTTCGCTAGAGAGAATAGCACTGATTGCTATTTGGCCAATAGCTTAACCTTTGCTCAATCTCTCTATATCTCTTGCTCTGTTAGAGTCCGCACCTGTCGCTGTTTATTTTAATAACTCAATTTTATGGCCCTGGCTACAGGTTTTTCTTTTCGACTGTGGTTATTTATTTATCTATGTGCAGATAGCTGGCCATGTCCTTTTACCGACTGGGCCATGATTAATGCCAGCCGGCGAGAGTTGCCTTACTCGTTTCGCATTTAGCGTTGCCAAAATATTTCATAATTCATTTTGAAGACAGACCTGGTCACAGGCATAAAACAGCTATAAATGCGCATACAAAGTTTTATTACCATTTCACAAGTTGGCCATACGTATTCCATTCTCTATACCATACCATTGGCCTAAACGCAAACACACAGATATACATTTCGCCATTCTCATTCCCTCTCATTTGCCTATTAACGTTGCTCCGGTGCGCCATAAATCTAAAAGATAGATTTATGCAGCATCTTCGTGTGTGTGAGTGTGTATGTGTGCATGTGTTCTGTGTCCATATCTGTATCTGTAACCCACAATCAGTGCTTCAGTGTGTGAGCTTGTACCAAATACCGCATTTATTTTGTACGTGTCGGTCTTAACATTCAATTTCCTGTACTACTTTTACTCAGTTTCCCGGCTGGCTGGGTAGCTGGCTGGCTGGCACATGAGTCGGCCTTCCACGAGCTGCTCCTCAGTACTGAACAAATGAAAAACGATGTCATTTAACAAGCAACACTTATTTCCAACTGAAAGCTGTATAGTTGTTGCAGCTCTTAAAGGCTTAGCACTTGGCATCCTCTGCGTATACGCAATATCCAGCGAGCAAAGTAATTCCCATCGGAATAGCTCGACAGGCGAAGTCAGCCCAGCTGCTGTTCAATGCAAAACCCATTGCCATGCGTCATTCGAAATGCCCGGCAGCACTCAAAAGATCAAAGACAACAACAAGCATCAAAGCAATTCTATTGTCGAAGAGATTTAAAGGCCATCGATTCCACAGCAAACAGCAAATAGCAAACAGCAAACAGCAAACAGCAACCAGCAAATACGCGATTAGGGATCGTCTTTGCATTGTTTCCAGCTCAGCTTGGCAACGATTCCTGGTTATATGAAATGTTTGGCAGTAAATTTCCCAGCCTTGCCACAGATGTTCTGAAGCATATTTTATTCTTTGCGATTGCTGTGCTTTGTTTCTACAGGTGTTTAGAGCATGCCTACGTGTAATTTAATGTGCATATAATTTAACAAAATTGATTTCAGGTAAGTTTCTCGACAATATTCATTTGCTTGAAAACAGTTACCACTGTGAATGCCAACTTGGCCATCTGTAAGAGGGAAGTACAATCAGTTCCTAGCTCACTTATCTCACAAGAAGCCTTACCTCAATGTTAGTTCTCATACAGATCGGAAAGATACCGCCAGCAATAAAAGCAATCGTCTGCTGTGTCTGATGTAGAAAGAAGACAAGAGTCGCCTTATAGCGCTTGCTAGCACTTACCCAATCGGAATGAAATATGGCATGCGTCAGCTCAATGCAATCGCGTTCTATCAGCTCGCTGATGTAACAGAAGGGAAATGTTTCGATCATCAATACGATAATGAACACAGACGTAGCCAGGCCCGTCCAGATAGTCGAAAAGAACAGCAAATTAACCGCCGACAGACCCAGACACAAGCCAATTGCTAAAAACTGGGCAAATATAGTACCCGATACCAGCGGACGAAAGACTTCCGCAAATCTACAATTAAATTTTAAGAAATTTCGCTTATAAGAAAAACTCTCCTACACTTACTCCAGAATATTTTTGTGATCTTTGATGCAGTTGACCAGCTCCTCATAGTTCTCATTGTCGCTTTGGCTGCTATTCTTTCGCAATCGCTCAACGCGCTTTATTAAAAGTTGTATATGAGTTCGTAATATTATGCCAAAGATCACCGGATAGACGTCTACAAATTGATCCAAAGTGACAGCCACGGATCCAACGATTATCTCAATGCTAGCTGCCACCCAAAAGCGTGAATTGCTGGAACGATAGTCTACGAAAGGAATGTAGAATCCCCATGGGGTCGAGCCGAATAAAACAGAGCTAAGACAAGTCAGAGCGGAGTACGAACTATACGCCACCTGATATACCATATAGACGAAATTACAGCGCGCGACGCAGCGATGTATTTCGTCGCCTGCTCCCTCCTGAAAGCACGGCTTATCCAGTATATCGAGAAGCGTCTTTGCCTTCTTAAAGCGCCACAGATTTGGTAAAACAATAGCGATCTTTACTGCCAGACAAACCGAATTGAAAGCGACCTGTATGGAAGTTAGAAAATCTCCAGGGGTGAAGCTCCCGAAATCGACGAAGTAGCTGATGAAGAAGCCGAAGGGCAAATAGGCACCGCACAACGTAGTTACAATGACTCCATACGCGCAATATATCCAGTAATTGGGATTGTTCCTCGATGGCGGCATCCAGCCCACATATCTCATGCCCCTTTCCAGATACTTGAAGGCGTACCGAGATGGGAACAAGTCACCAAATGATGGTGGTCTCATGTACTCAAATATCATATTGGAAGGGTTTACTTTGTGACTCAGTGAAACTTGAACTAGAACTGCAGAGGTAAGCCTTTCATAGGCTTTATATATCCTTCTGTTTAGGGAACTTTTCTAATTCACTTTCTATGTGTTATGTAGAAAGTGTTCCATATGCAATTGTTCTCATAGAAATTGTGGAAGGTTCCTGTCATAACATAGTTCGGAGATATAATTTGCAGAGATTGACAGTTGGGCGTTGCTCAGCTAAAAGGGGCGTGAGCTAACGTCAAATGCAGCTGTATTACAGCACATAAGTCAGATGTACAATTGGTGAAGATAATAGGAATGTAAGTTATACCTTAGTTGGTCTATGTACTCTAAATGGAATTATATCTGAAATAATTCTCTATATTTCAGAAACTCTCGAGGAATTTCGTCTGGGCTCACAATCATATTTCATAGCTGTGCATATAATTTATTCTAGTTTCTACATATTTCTGTGTGCATATATTATTTTGTGGCTATGCTCGTTTGACTGATTCGAAATGGGCGTGGCACATGGCAGAGCAACAATTTATGCAGTTTTCAATGCCATTTGTCAGCTGTGGTTCCCGCAGCGCCATTCGGCCTGTGCGACTGTTGGGCGATAATTCTCAGACTAAATGCTACCAAATTAGTTTCAAATTATCTTGTGAAATAAATCGCAGCGCTGTGAGCGGCTTTTTATTGCATTTTATGAGCTCAAATTATTTATTATTTGCCGCATAATTCGCTTCCGAACTGCGAGCTTGTGCACGCTCGAGGCTGATACGATTTAAAAATGTTTAAAAACTCAAAATACGATTTAAAAAAAATCAGAATGAAATGAAAATCAGTTTAGCAAGCAAAACGGCGGCAATTTGTTGCCGCAACATGTGGGCCCGTCGACCAGGTGGTAATTATTCTTAAAGTCGTGCCTAATTACTCAAAATGGTGTTTGGTTCAAGATTGTGGATACACTGACTGCAAACAGTATGTGGCTGTGTCAATTAAATTAATATAAAACAGATATAAACAAGTAAGAAAGGTCTAGTCGGGCTGCCCGACTAGGTATACCCTGAATCCAGTTCTATATGCTGTATTTAATGTATTCCATACACATATGATTAAATAATTCTTGAAGGGCATTAAATATAGGTATACATATATATTATATATAGGTATATAGTAAACATAGCTATAAATCTTAATATATTAAGTGTTTTACATTTTTTTTTTTTTTTTTTTTTTTTCTGATATTTTTTTATTTTCTTATTTTTTTATAAACATTTTTTCTATTTTTAAGGAGAGAACATTTCCATAAATATTAATTTTGTTATACATAAATAGATTATTTATGTTTGACTGATCGCCCACAGCATCTGCTGCGCCCTTTTATACCCAAAAGTCACTTAAAAGACAGCAGAGCTGCTGTGCCCTTTTTGAGTGTTAATTTACACTTATTTTTAATTAAGTTAGAAACATAGGGAATATACTTGCCTGTTGCATGCATTTTAACAAACGCATTATATCCTGATTTCGCATTTAAATATATTTGCGTTACGGATCTACGTTTGTTCAGCTCTGAGTGTGCGTGAACATTTAGCTAGCACTGTGCCTGCAATAATTCTTGGCGTATGTACATTGTGTGCGCCAAATGTTTCGCAGATCGAAACAAGAATTCAATAAAGTGAACTTTTTTCAACCCGCTTCCGGGCTTTACGATTTTTGCTGTTTCTTTGGACAACTTCTGTAGACTTTGGCTTTGTTTCAGCCACCAACTGTGGTTGGCATTTTTATTATTGTTTGCCCTGTTGCCGGAGCTGCTGCTGTTGTTGCTGCTGCTGGCTGGCTGGTAGCTCTTGATAGCCTTGTGATTTTGTTTCTGAAAGATTTGCGCCGCTTTGTCGGCCATGATAAATACACAGAAACAGCAAACAGTTTCAGGTTTTTTGGTCTGTTCTATATATATTTTTAGTTTTTGTTTTTACTGCATTCTCCGCTCGGGTGGCCGCAGGACAAAATGCCAGGTCTCAAATCACATTGTTGCTGCTGCTGTTGAGTCAACATTTTAAGACACAATTTGGCATTTATTGCTGCTGTTGCCACTGCTGCTGCTCATTGGCACTCAGTCAGGGAACGCATCCGTAGCAAATATTTCAAGTTAGAAGCAAACAGCTATGACAGTGCTCAAAGGATGTGGACCACACCTTGTCTTCGGCTGTTGCTGCTGTTGGTTACAGTTGGCAAGGGACAATACATCAAACAGCAAGACAGAAATGAGCAACGGGGGTCGTCGCTGTGTTGACACTGACATAGGAGGCGATGCCAGGCGGCTCCAGCTGAGTGATGACCGACGACAATCGGCGAAAACGAAAGCCCCAACAACCAGACAGTCGCAGTCGCACTCCCAGCCTATGCCAGCGATCAGAAACTTCCTGGAAATTAATTAAAGCTCTAACTGAGCAAAGAACTGCAGCCGGCTCCAGCGGCTGCTCAATAATTATCGACGCTTATCAAAGGCCCCGTTACAGATGCGCGCGCACACACATGAGCTGGCCACCAAGTATGGAGCTGAAGCAGGAGCTGGCATCATCTAGCTGGAATGTGCCTCTTGGATGCTGTTGGTGCTGCTGCTGCTGCGGCTGCTGCGGCTGCTGCGGCTGCTGCGGCTGCTGCTGCTGTGTCGGCTTTTGTTCAGTTTGGTGCGGTGCAATTAATATTCAACGCCGTTGGCTGATCATAATTTACGTGCTGAGTTTACGATGCGACTCCAACTTCGACTTGGACTGCAACTGCTGCCTGCGACTGCATATGCTTGTGCTTGGGGGCGTAACCGCCAACCGCTCACAAAGTGGGCGTATTCGTTTGCTAGTCACAGGCGAGGCAAGTCAACAATAGCACATATATAGCTATAGTTGGCGTATCCTCTTGGCTATGTATTCTATTTACATTTAAGGCCGGCTTACACGTGTTTCTGCACATGCGTGCAACACACGCAGCTCGTTGCATGCCAACGCCAACGGCGATCATACATATATATATATATATATATATATATATCATATATAAATTGAAATCAGGTTTCACAATTCCAAATAAATAACGCAGCTGCCTAATTAGGCAGACAGTCAGAGAGTCTCAGTCGGAGTCTGAGCTCCTTTCGACTGGCCACCCATTGTCAACGTTATGATCCACTCTGGAAATAGGGTTAAGAGTGACACCCAGGAGACCTACATATGCGAAAAGTCATTTGCATTTGCATTTGCGTTGCCTAACGACGACAGCTTGGCGGATCTGGAGTCAGGGCCGCTGCCATTCACTCGAGCTGCAGGCAAATCTTTAAGATAGACCCGTCCAGCCACAGACGACAGCTAGTCAGGGCAGTCAGTCAGTCAGTTAGTCAGTCAGGGAGTCAGGGAGTCAGGCAGTCAGGGAGTCACTTGGTTACATTTCACATGGATTTATGCAGTCATTCGCGCCAGTTTTTTGTTTTCGGTTTTTTTTTTATTTTTTATTTTTGCCATTTCATTCGGTCGCTTGCGGTTATCAAAAATCCATCGATGTGGCCCGCAGTTGGGAGCCGAGGGCAATCCCAGTCCGTAGCGGTCATTAAAATATATATGACACCCACCAGAGCCACGATGCGATGTCTACGAGTAGTAGTTGTCGCTCACTCGCTCTCGCTCGCACTGATTAGACAGGGTTTCGCGCGCCCTGTGCCATCTCTTTCCCGCAAGCAGCATCAAGCATCGAGTGGTGCTGTTGCTTCATGGTGTGTGGTCCAATTAATTTTTCGGATAGAGCAATCAACATGTTTCTTTTTCGGCGTTTCAAGTGGTTGTTGCCTTTGCTGTGGCTGTTGCTGTTGCCGTTGCCGTTGTTGTCTTTATGGCCGTTGTTCAACATGTTGCAGGTCAATTTGTTGCCGTTTGTCGTCCTCCCAAAATGTTTGGCTCTGACATGTGTGTGGTCCACTCTGGGTCTGTTGTTCGTCTGAAGAGTTTTTAGTTCTCAATTAGTTGTGCTTGTCAACGCGCCTCATAATCCCTAATTAGACGACAAACAACTCGTCTTGGGCCTAACCCCTTTTTGCCTTTTGGCCCTATTTGCAGTTAGCGCAACGCGCGCCTTTGCTTTGGTTTTGGCTTACGATTTGGCTTTGGTTTTTGGCCCGTTCGCATTCTTGTCTTAATTAATTTGATGGCAAAGTGCATTCGTGGCTCCATTTTGGAGCGTGTTGCCCTGACAGTATTTGCCTTTTGCCGTGCTACCAATTGTTAACCCACATTCAACGCGCCAACCTCCTGCTAATTAGCAGAGTGAGCTCAAAGCGTATGACTATGACTATAGCCATGCTTACATGTGAGTGCGGCGAGCTGGAGGTGTGTGTAGGTGGGCGGCTTATATGGTATTTTGGCTGTGGCTGCCACTGCAAATGCAAATGCAAATTGGCAAAGATGAATGCGCCTTGCTTTCGTTTTGGATTTTGGTTTGTAGCCTGCAATTTCTGTTGCTGTGGTTGTTGTTGTTGCGGCTGCTGTTGCTGCTGCTGTTGCTGTGGTGAGGAAGTTGTTGGCTTTGGCATTGTCCTCAATCTAATCAGTGAAAAACCTGGTGCTTAAATTGTTGCTGTGCTTGGTTTCTGCCATTGCAAACGATATTTTGGCATCAAGTTAATTGGAGTACGCTCAGCATTAATGCTGTCATTTGAGAAATGACTGGCAAATAATTGTCATTGTCAGCTTATGCCAGTCTCTCCATAGAAACATAAAATTACTCAGAGGCAAACGAATTGTTATCGCCTTTCTATACAATTCTCATAAACTGTCGCTCTCTCTCCCTTTAGTTTCCGCTCCTAAGTTTTCACATCCAATCACACGACATTCAATAAAACTATCAAAATCGGTTAGCACTACTTGAATTTATGAAAATCGCATAGAAAGGCGACTCGTGAAAAGGGAGTTCTATTCTTGCTGCTTGCTAGTATAATGAGAAACGCGAATACATTGCCT